ATCCCCCTATATATATATATATAAAGAAAGTAAGCATAATTTTAAGTTTGCCCCCTCTACATCTCATATATCTTATATTTTACGGCATCCCGTTGTAACATGACGCATTCAGACGCCCCAGCGAGCAGGCTCTCACCGGTGTTGTAGACATGCATTCTCGCCGGCAGCTTTCCTTTCAGCGGGTGGCCATGTTTGTACCACGTGATCCGTGGTATCGGGGAACCGGAAGCCTCGCATGTCAAGGTCAGAGTGCCGCCGGTTGCGACTCTGACCTTCTTCGATGGCGGCAGCGTGATCTTCGGCTTCAGCGCTAAAACACAAGAGCATCGAACTTGTTTCGTAACGTAGCAAAGCTTAGCTTAGACGGACTCAATGAGACTGGGAACGACACTTGAAACTAGCAGTTCATCGCCAACAATTCATTAATGGCATGATGTGTAATTGTTTTCGACAAAACCCTGATAGCTTACCGAATGGAACTATACACTCCGTAGTGCGTATGCCTACTCGGACCTTTTGTTTGAATATATTAAATTACAACAACGGTGTGTATTATAAATACTATCGTGTTTATGAATTAGGGAACTACGGAAACGAATAAGTGACTCATAACAAAACCAGCGAAGCTGTCTCGTAATAGTGTAATACGTTGTATATCTTCATATACATTATCTTCATACCCTACACACGCACGCACGCACGCACGCACGCACGCACACACACACACACACACACACACACACACACACACACACATACACATACACATGCACACACGCACGCACGCACGCACGCACGCACGCACGCACGTACGCACCCACGCACGCACGCACGCACGTACGTACGCACGCACACACACACACACACACACACCTCGTTTATCCAGAATGAGACCTTCGCTTGCAACATCAAGCGCTGAGCGGTATATGTACAGTGTTCCGTCCATGCGCGGCCTGAGGCGCTACATCACAATTCAGCAGATTCCTTGCAGTGATATATGAGGACTCCTGTAAATCCACCGTGCTCTAATGGTTTTGCATGAATACGGTTTCCTGATATGATATTGCTTCCGCGTGCGCTTCTCTAGATGACCTTTTCGTCTCTTTTATTAGATTTTCTACACTCAAGTTTCGTCCCCGTGTAATAGTGTAATAGTGTATGACCGCACATCGACTATAGTTGAGAAGTCGTTGTGCGATATATCTCTCATTTCTTTTAGCTACTTCCCCTAGGTAGTCGTCGGCGGCTTTCGTTCGCTTTTCTTGGAGTGGACAAAACTATCCTTTAATTTTACGGAAAGTTAGCTATTCATTGTTTAGTTTATAGATTTAAAATAAAAATATTAGCGTTCCTTAACCGTACTCTATAGTAAACCTTGATCGCACGAGTGTGGTGGGGGAGTGGGTAGGTCTAGATGCCCTCCACCTCACTATGGCAATTAAGACCGTAGTCCAAAATTTGTATAAGTTAGCAGAATGAAACTAGAGTATGTCATACATCCCGAATCATGCTTATACGTCCTAATGTAAACCCAATCTAAAATTAAGAGCTCATAAGTATGAATTATTAATCATAATAACAATTTCATAATAATCACTTTTGATTTGGCAATTATATATATTAATAATAAGAATCACCATGATAATTAATAATATTATCAGGAATGAATCAATTATTATTCACTCCTGATATCATTAATGACTATTAATTAGTAATTATGAGCTTTTTTTACGATGATGTGAGTGTGGCGGAGTGTAACGCACGCGCACGTACTTGGCATCTTGCAGCAGACAACACCGGTGGTGACTCCTGCTCTGTACTGGCAGGCTCCCTGCAGATGCGCATCCTTGCAGCAGCTGGCATCAATTCGACCACCTGTGATGCACGAACCCTTGCCGAACTGCTGATGAGGGCAGCCGTGCCCAATGGCTCCGAGGTCATCCTATAGCGAGAGAGTCTTAATTACCACTTAATAATGTTATTGTATTGTTATTGCTATTGTTATTGTTATTGTTACTGTTGTTGCTATTGCCATTGCTATTGCTATTGCTATTGCTATTGCTATTGCTATTGCTATTGCTATTGCTATTGCTATTGCTATTGCTATTGCTATTGCTATTGCTATTGCTATTGTTATTGCTATATGCTGTTGCTATTGCTATTGCTATTGCTATTGCTATTGCTATTGCTATTGCTATTGCTATTGCTATTGTGCGTGCGTGCGTGCGTGCGTGTGTATATATGTTATACCTAGAGCATTTTCCGTCCGTGTTCTCTGCGTTGTAGCCGTAGCAGCCGGCGATGCCATTCGCGTGGCTCCATGATATGGACTTGAGCAACCTAGCATCGTTCGCACTGCACACCCGCCATCCCTGAACGAACCGTCGTGATCCGGCAATAAATAAATAGTTGTTAATTATAAATGAAGTGAGGATTGATTAATAATGAGAATAAATCACCCATTAATAATTAATCAGTTGTAAATAATAATAAATAAATATTTGTCATATGCTAGCAATAAATAACTACAATATCTATAACTCAGACAATATTTTGTTTAGTCATCTTGCACACCCACAGAGCAGATACACTTTCATAATCTGCGCAAATCCTAATACATATATAGACAGCTAGACAAACTGTGTGTTTCGCGTGAGTGTAATCACCACAGTGCCACACAAACTGTGAGATTCTTATTTACAGGAGATGGTAACCGAACGTACGTTCGAGCAAAGATGTCTGGCACGTTTCACATGACCGGACCAATGGCCGGTACACGCGGATATGTTAGGCAGAAAATATAGGCCCTCGGAGGTTCCATCAGCACAGCCCGTCTGCTCTTGGTCTGCACACAAAGATAGGAACACTGGTAGAAACTAGAAATAGACGCGTTGAGCGTTGCAATAAAATATAGAAAATGCGATATGGGCGTAGTTACGGTAACGAGGTATTGTTGTGCAAATTCGAATTGGTTAACAGGATATCTGCGAATACCCGAACGGATCATGAGTAAAAACATTAGTTGTTAGCCTTTTTTTAGATTTACGTAGTATATACTTTTAGTTACTATAATAATTATATTTTAATCTACATTTAATCTATAGTACTTGGTTAGCTGGAAGCATTACCTGTCACTTCGACCCTAGTATAAGCAGTAGCCGTGCCTTCGGAGTTCTTAGCGACGCAAGCATACTCGCCCGCATCAAATATGTCAATAGCTTTCACCTTGAGATTACCTGAAAAATACACATCACCTACATATTGCAGGCAAGATAGTGACATACGTCTAGGAGGAAACTTATTCTAAACTAATTCTTAACGCATTAGTTAGCATTGCGACTGGCAACACATTATGCAGGAAATGGCAAAGATATTCCATAGAAAGCTCGTAGACGTTCAGAAACTGTTCAGTATTAAATATAGAATGAGCATTATTACATCAGTGCATGCGTGTATAACTATATTTAAGGACGTACGCACTAACACCCGTACGCGCACGCACACACATGCACACGCACGCAAGAACGCATACACGCACGCACGCACGCACGCACGCACTTGTTATTGGCTGATTGTTATTGTTATTGTTACTGTTGTTGCTAATTGCCCAAATTGCTATTGCTATTTCTGATTGCTATTGCCATTGCTATTGCTATTGCTATGCGCAATTTAGTTATTGCTTATTGCATTGCTGTTGCTATTGCTAAATTGCTATTGCTACTTGGCTATTGCTATGCTATTGCTATTCGCTATTGCTAATTGTTATTGCTATATGCTGTTGTGCTAATTGGCTATTGGCTTATTGTTATTGCTATAATGCTAGTTTGGCTAATTGGGCTATTGGCTATTGCTATTGCTATTGCTATTGGCTATTGATATTGGCTA